AAAAGAAAAAAAAAGATTACATGGGAGGCTGGGCACAGTGGCTACACCTGTATTCCCAGCAGCTTGGGAGGCTGAGGCTGGAGGATCACAAGCTCAAGGCCAGATTCAGCAGTTTATTGAGACCCTAAGCAACTTAGCAAGGCCTGTCTCCAAATAAAAAGTAAAAAGGACTGGGGAGGGGCTGGGGTTGTGGCTCAGTGGTAGAGCACCCCTGGGTTCCATCCCCAGTGCCAACAGTAAAGTGAATAAAACTTAGAGGGCAAAGCAGTGTGTTTGGGGTGTGATGACAGCAGTGTCCATGTCACCAGACAGCAGTCATCACAGGGATGTGCCCAGCACAGGAAAATAAAGGTAGGGAAACTCAGAAATTTGAGTAGAAGATCTCATTGCAACAGAGCACTTCACACAGATGAAGAGAGGGGACGAGGCTGCAAGTCAGTGACGTTTCCCTGTGGCTCCTTTGTCAGCCAAGCAAAGAAAGCCCTTTACTGTGGGTGGCTCAGTGGGAGGCTGCAGCAGAGGAAGCAGAGGAAGCAAGCCAGAGGAAGCAAGTCTAAGGCTACCAGCCTTTTAGCACAAGGGTGTTCTGAGAGAGAAGAACTGAGAACTACAACAGTCCATCAAAGCAAGAGAATGGCTGGAAGTCCTTTCCCGGGGCTCTTGCTGAGTAGACAGATGCTACTGCTGATCTGAGGAGTCACGCCCTGGAGGCTGAGCTGGGCACTGGAAACCAGCCCCAAGCAAAGGCGGCAGAGAACTACAGCTGCAGGCAGGAGGATCTGCAAGTTCAGCAAGACCCACTCAGTCTGAGAGGACTGTGCTAATAGGTGCCAAACTGACCATGGTTTAGAAACCATGTGAGAGCAGAAATACGAACTGGATGGGCAGAGTCTGTGAGAACCTCAAGTGCCTATGGCTGGCCATGGCTTCTCACCATCGTGCTTGGTCCTGCTGTGAGAACTTGGTCAGGGGTAGATGCTGACTGTCCTGACCTGCCCCCACTTGGAGCAGGTCATCAGGGGATAATGGCCTGGGTGTCCTTCGGGGAGGAAGAACCTGTCTTGGCTGTTCTCCAGCACATGTGGCTTTGGGGTCCAACATCTGCTGGGAACTCAGAGGTGCTTCCTAGAGAATTCATCCCAAAGTCACAGGGAAATGGCTCTTGAGCAAGGCATACACTTCATTACCATCACTTTAGTAGCTAATGCTACTGAATCCCAAGCAGCTGGTGTCAGCTACTTCCTGTGCAGCCATAGTTGAAACAGGAGCCCAGTCTCCATTACCAACCACACTTGCAGTGGGTGCTACTGCTGTTCTTCCCCTCCTCCTCTTCTCCTCCCTCTCCTACTCTCTTCCTTCTCCTCTCCTCTGCCTTCTTCTTTCTCCTTCTCCTCCCCTCTTATTCCTCTTCCTCCTACTTCTTGTTAAGATGCTGAGGCAGGAGCATGGCAAGTTAGACCAGCCTGGGCCACTTAGCGAGACCCTGATTCAAAATGACATTTAAAAAGGTTGGGGTGTGGCTAGATGGTAGAGGCTTGCCTAGCATGTGTGAGGCCCTGGGCTCCATTCCCAGCAAACACACACACACACACACACACACACACACACACACACACACAAATCAAGAGCCAAAGTTATCTTGGACTGTCCTTAGCCCTTTTTAACAGCCATTTACTGTCAACCAAAACTGACACCTTTTGAATTCCCCTTGAAACTCTGGGAACATGCCCAAACCCTGATACCTCCAGTGTCCACCAGCCTGGTGCTGAGACTGGGATGAAGAAGAGATGAAAATGACATCTGAATTCTGCAGCAGGGACTCCCCACCTTTGGGACCTTGGAGCCACCCAAAGTCCCTTCTGTAGTCGCCAACTGTACACCGCCCCTGTGTGTCCTGTAAACCCATGGATTCTTGACTTTCTTTCCTCCTGTGACTATATAAGTTCATGTGACCCCTTCCCCAGTTGAAAGTATCCTTTAGGGTAACCTGAATCTGTGCTCCTGGGTCATAGTTACTCATAGTGGGCTTGGAATAAGCGATTTTCTTATTACCCATGAAGCAGGGTTGTTTTACAGTGGCCTCAGGAGAGCACCTCCCAGATGGTGGAGCATTCGCACTAACAATCTGATTAAGTATCTGTAACTGATTGTAATGACAGGAAATTAGCTTTGAGCCTCATTTGAGATAAATGTTATCCTCCAAATGATCCATTCTCCTCTCAAGCAGGCCTAAGTTGCAGTTTGTATTCCATTGGTATTCATATATATATATATGTGAGTGTGTGTGTGTGTGTGTATAAATGTTTGTGTGTGTATATATATGTATATATTTTAGTTGTAGCTGGACACAATACCTTTATTTTATTTATTTATTTTTATGTGGTTCTGAGGATTGAACCTAGTGTCTCACACGTTCTAGTCAAGTGCTCTACTGCTGAGCTACAGCCCCAGACCCTCCATTTGTATATGTTGAGTTCATCAATAAAAGTGTGGACTTCCCTGTATCTCACATGTACTTCCTCTAGCACTTTCCAGATGGAAAGGATGTTTTAGAGGGCACTTCTCTGTTGACTTTTGTAAACTGGTATGGCAACTGGCAGCCTTGTTGAATTCTGCACTAATTAGCACTGGGTTCAACTGTACAGAACAGCACCCACTCTCAGGAAAAGGTCAGATATGGACGCGGGGCATACTCAGTCCAACAAAAAGAAGCCTTTCCGGGTTTGTGTTGGTTTTTGTTCTTGGTGCTGGGGTGGGAGCCAGGGCGTTGCATGCTGGCAGGTACTGCACCTCAGAGCCACCCAAAGTACCTTTGCAGCTGTGGAAAGCAAGGACAGATTCCACACTGGGAATCAGCATCACAGAGCCATCCTAGGGTTGGAGGTGAGGGCCTTTGGCCACAAGGTCACTCCACTAAGGCTGTGGTCCAAGGCTAGGAAGGAAAGGCCAGTGGCCGGGCAGGTTGATTCCAGTGGCCCTGCCATTTTGGAGCACAGGGCCCTGGTGGATTCACCTCCTGTAGTCCCTGCTTACTGTTCCTTGCCATAGTTTCTCCTCTTCATGTTGCCTGAGTCAGGAGCACATGTGAAAGGAGCCAGCAGGTCCCTGGAGCTGTGACCTGGCAGTGTGGCCTGCAGAGGCCCACTGAGGCTCTGGCTGGGAGTCCAGCCCTTGGCTTGACCTATGACTTTGGCCACTCTCTGTCTCAGTTCCATCCCCTGAAAAATGGAAACACAAGACTCCTTGGAGCCGGGGCCTGGTACTTCCACCCCACCCACAGAGCAAGGGAGCAGTCCTCCTCCCCAGGTGGCCGGGGTCTGACCTGTGCAGTCTGGCTGGCTCCCTGGCAGGGTCTCCACCCGCACATTCCTATGGCATGAGCAGCGCCTCTCCCAGCCGCCAGGCCGCCAAGCCTCATTTGTTCCCTTGACAGCCTGGGACACTGTCCAGCTTCTCTACTCCCCACTTCCCAAGTGGGGAAAGGGAGGCAGAGGGGCTGAGGTTTGCCACTCACCTGGATCCTCAGCATCACCTTGGGCAGGGCCCATTCAGGCCCTGGGGAGGGTCCACTCAGAGCCTCAGGGCCTGGGGTTGTAAGGGACGTGCATCAGGACACTACACCCAACCGTGGCCAGAGGTGGGAACGTGGAGGCACCCCACCTAGGCTCGCTCCCACGTTCCCAGAACTTCCTTAAGCAGACTGTCCAGCATTGCCCACGCCTAGAGAGTGGTCCACACCCTGTTCCCTGCATACTCTTCGCCCACTCCCACCTCTCCCTTGCCGTCCTCCCTGCCCGGGGCCTGCAGAAGCCTGTGGTGATGTTTCAGCCTATAGAGCAGGGTCTGCCCCAGGCAGGTGTTCCCTGGGGCGAGGGATGGGCGTTGGAGGAGACCCGAGGTGGACACAGGCAGCACAGCACGGCCAGTCAGACAAGAGCTTCGGTCTGCAAGTGAAAGGAGCGCCGCGGAGCGGGGCACAGTGAGGGCCCACTCCAGCCCTGTTCTTCCCCTAGGGTGGGGCTGTGGGCCCCTCTGGGACAGTATCCCATTTACCTGGGAATCTCAAGACAATGGGTGGGTGTTTTCCAGGAGCCACAATTCCTGGGGCTAAGCTCAGTATCCAGACTCACAAGGGGCTGGTGGGGGCCTGGTCCACGTGGGGTGGGAGACAGGGCCTGGGTCATGCACATTCCAATGTGTATGTGTGGGAGTGGGTGTGCCAGGAGGAGGTCAGGCAGGGCACCTGCACTGGCCCCTCCAGCCGGCCTGCCCTGCCCTCCATGGGTTCTCCCTTCCTGCACTCTGCTGCACAGGGAGAGCTGTAAGAACTCCCCTCTCCTGCTGTCCTCAGGGGTCATCTCTGTGCTGGGAGCAGGATGGGATAGCCCTGGCTGAAGACCACCCCTACCCACAGTCTCCCTCAAAGTACTCACTGAGGCCTGGCCTCAGCGACGAAGGGGATCTGCCTTCCTTTTCCATCACATGAGGGCCAGACCTTGGGCTGGGCTGTGCTATAGGTCAGGAAAGCCAGAACCATGTCCTGCTGGGAGCTCTTGGCTGTTGTGGGGTGGGCTGGTCTTGCCCCATCACACATGGCTACATCAGCCTCACACTCCGCTCCAAGGAGCTTGTGGTCTGCTCAGTCCCCAGATCCACTGGGCATAAAGGAACAATTGTTATCAAGGTAGCACAGTGAGGCCAAACTCTCTCCGTGGCTAGGCCCCACCCAAGGGTCCTGGAAAAGCCCAGCTCTCTGCTGGGGGCCAGGCTGACTCAGCTCCAGCTCCCCTCCCTGCAGGAGGGCTGGCTTCCTGAGGGGCGGGCCAGTCTGAGAGCAGGGCCAGTGGCATAGACGCTCCTGCCTGTGCCCAACAGGCTCAGCCAGAGCTCTCCTGGCCCAAAGGCCCCTCACTTGCCTGGTGGGGATCGGGTGGGGACATCAGAGGCACTGTTGTCCATAGGACATGGCCTTGCCCACAGCTCAACACTCCCTGGGGTCCTGTGAGCCTGCCACCCATGGCAGGCTTCTGCTGCTGCTCCTTAGCTTGGGTGAGTCCAGTGGTGGGCTGTGGGTTGCCAGGGAGAGGGGGAGGGCAGCCCTGGGCCCTTCGTGGGTCAGAACCTTGGGGAAGCCCCACTGCCCTGTGCCTTCTCCCCCATTGTGGGCAGGAGGCTTGTGTCCTGGTGGGGCTGGGGCTGAGCATGACCTGGTGCCCAGGAGAAGAAGTGTCCTGCCAGGGGAAGGATGCGGGAAGCCCTGGCTCTCTGTGCAGCTCAGATCCCTGCCTGGCAGCCTGCACTACGGCACCTTGTGGTGCAGGGGCCTCAACTTTGTCTCCATGTCCTGTAGGCTGTGCTGGGTGGGACTGAGAAGAGGTAGGAAGGGGAGAGACCTCCTCCCTTCCCAGGTTGGGGTCTACCCGAGAAGCCCCCAGCCCTCCCCTCCAACCTCATGCCCTCTACCTCACAGGGTGGCTGCAACCTCTAAGGACTCAGGTTACAGAGATGGGACAGGTGAGGGGCTGGTGGGAGAAGGGCAGGGCTCCGGGTCATGGGTGGAGGTGGGTGACAGCTGTTCTCCCCCATGCCCTGGAGGAGGGAGCTGTGGGTACCAGGCAAAGGTGGAGTGGGCCAGAGAGGCACAGGCCTGGGGGAGCCGTCAGCCTGGCCTTGTCCCCCAGGCTGTGCTCCTGGACCCAGGCTTGGTCAACACCAGCAACGCTACCAGGTAGGTCTTGACCCTGCAGTCTTTGAGGGCTTGGTGCCCTTACTGGTGGCCAGGTGCCAGCCACAGTTTGTCCTCAGCCTTCATCCCCACATCCTCTCTGTCTACTCTCTGTCCCACCCCCACGTCCCCTGGAGAGAGCCTGAATCTCTCTGTGCCCCTCTCTGCCTGGAGGCTCAGGGGTAGAGAGGCATTGACTCCCAGAGGAATGACTCCTTGCCCTTCTGAGTGTCACCTGGGTGAGGAGCCCAGGGGGACGCTGCAGGAGGAGGGTTACTGTGGGAGGGGGTGCACACTGCTGGCCCAGCCAGCCTCGCCCCAGCCTCCTCCCTGGCTTCCTGGCCTGAGTGTGCAACACGCCAGGAGGGGCCCTGGCCACAGAGCAGAAGAATGCGGCACTCAAGATGGTCAGGTCAGTCCCCACATGTTCCCCTGGGCCTATTGGGATGCTGCTGCCAGAGCCTTCTGAGCCAGATGTCCCTGTCCCTGGTGGCTGAGCTGCCTGGCAGGTCGCCTTTCCCAGCACCTCATCCCCAAGGACCTGGATGCTTTCCTCACTGGACATGGTGCCCTTCCTCAAGTAGGGCCTGTTCCTGGGCTTGGTTACCCTGTGCCTGGGGACCTCAAAGTGCAGGGACTTGGCTCACCAGGGGGCCCGCAGGAGGCCTAGTGCTCAGGGTGCCTGACCCAGACCCTCTGCGCAGTACAGCGCCAACCCCGGGGTCCCAGGCCTGTGCACGCCTCTTCTCCCACATCACCAAGGCCAACGTGTTCCCACGGAGAGCTTCGGAGCGGCGGCGGCTGCTGCTTGCAGCCCTAGCCTGCCAGGTTTGGGACAGGGTAGGGGCTGCAGGCAGTGAGGGGGGCTCGGCCATTCCCCAAGGCACTGAGGCCCCTGCATATATGCAGGGCGTGCGCGGCTCCCGGGTGCTCAAGGCGGATGTGAGGGCTCTGGGAGCCCTGGCCTGTGACCTGCCTGGGCACTTCGTGGTGCACTCAGCTCCAGTCCTCCTCCCCTGGCTGGCAGGCTGCCCAGGGCCCCTGGACCAGGGCCAGCAGGAGGCAGCCAGAGTGGTTCTGCAAGGTGGAGGACCCCCCTACGGGTAAGTGGATGGTGAGTGCACAATGGGTAGCCACAGCTGTGCTGGGTGCCAGGGCCAGCCGTCCATCATACCCTGTCAGCGTCCCCGCGGGGTCCCCATCACAATATCTGTCCAGGGCAGTGCTGGGATTGCTTCTGTCCCCTATTAATTCTGGACGGCCCCCTGTATCTGGACAGGCCCCCGTCGAGGTGGTCAGTCTCAACGCTGGACGCTCTGCAGGGCCTGCTAGCTGTGTTGGACCAGCCCATCATCCAGGATATCCCCAAGGTGAGACCCCGGCCCCCTGCTGCAAAGCCTCTGGGCTATGAGGCTCAGCCACCCACTCTGTCCTCAGGATGTCCTGGCTGCTTGGCTGCTGCGCCACTCCAGGGGCCCATCCTGGCGGAGGCCAGAGCTTCCTGCCACCCTCATGAGGCTCCGGCGGGACACACAGGGTAAGCCCCTGCCCTGCCCGTTGGGCATCAGGCTGAGGCAGAATCCCAGGGTTGGGGTCTCAGTGGTCCCCCTCCCCCGGCCCACAACCCTTCCTGGCTCTTCAGCTGGTTCCCTCATAAACTCAGAGGGGATGGAGCCGCCCCATTTCTCCTGTGGGTAAACTGAGCCCCCAAGTCTCCCAGACAACATGGGAGGAAGGAGGGGTTGCCGATGGCCCCTGACTAGCCTTCCCCTGCAGAGAGGGCCTGCCCCCAGAAGCAGGAGCCCTGCCCCCCCGGCCGGAAGCCCCAGGTGGTAGATGAAAACCTCATCTTCTATGAAGAGTGGGAACTGGAGGCCTGTGTGGACGGTGCCCTGCTGTCTACCCACATGGACCTTGTGAATGCGATCCCCTTCACCTACCAGCAGATCCACACCCTCAAGTGCAGGCTAGACCAGGTAGTTGATGCCACATGCTACTGCCTGCTGGCCTCACCCAGGGAGTGGCCCTGGCCTTCATGGTCACCTTCTCCACAGACCTACCCACAAGGCTACCCTGAGTCCCTGGTCCAGCACCTGGGCTACTTCTTCCGCTATGTCAGCCCAGAGGACATCCACAAGTGGAACCTGACCTCCCTGGAGACTGTGAAAGCCCTACTCAATGTCAGCAAAGGGCAAAAAATGGACAAGCAGGTGACCACCTGCCTGAGGGGCATTGGCACGGGGCTATGTGGCCTGATGATGGGGCATCAGGGGACTCTGGACTCTGACCTGGGGGAACACAGCACAGTACTGTTCAGCCTGGAAGGACAGCTTAAAGTTTGCTGGCTGGTAGGGGTCCATCTCTCCTGTTCCAAGGCACCTCAACAACCTCCTCCCACAGGTGACTGCCCTGATTGCCCGCTATGTGCTGGGAGGTGGCCAGTTGGACCAGGATACCATGGGTAGCCTGGCTGGCTTCCATCCTTCCTACCTGTGCTTCCTCAGTGCTGAGCAGCTGCACTCTGTGCCCTCCAGGGTCATGTGGTGAGTCACAGTCCTCTGCAGGGCAGGGTGGGCATGCTGTGGTCCCCACTCACTGCTTGGCCCTACACTGTCCCCAGGGCCATCAGACCCCAGGACCTGGACTCATGTGGCCCTAGGCAGCTACATGTCCTCTACTCCAAGGCCCGCATGACCTTCAGGAATATAAGCCAGCCTGAGTACCTTGGAAGGATCCAGGCTTTCCTGGGTAAGCTAGGGCACCCTGGCAGGTGGGCAGAGCAAAGGGCAGGCAAGACCCCTATTTGCAGTGGCCAGTCAAGGGCCTCCCTGAATGCCCTCTGTAGGCGTGAGTGGGCAGTCCCCCATATCCTGTCCCCCATTCCTCCAAGTATGTGTACTTAAGACGGTGAGCTCTGACTCTGAAAGAGCTCTGGCCCTTTTTGGTTAGAGGGTTAGGTAGCTACCAGGCAAAGCCAGGACCAGGACTCCTCGGGAAGAAGGAGTCTTTTTAAGAAGGTGGACTTTCTGTAGCCTGTAGCAGAGGATGGGGCTGGGGTATGTCATATGGCCTCAAGTTGGGGGTCCTTCCTGCACAGGTGGGGCTCCCATGGAGGACCTGAGGACACTCATCCTGCAGAATATGACCATAGACATGGCCACATTCAAGAAGCTACCGGTTGAGGCTGTGGTGGTAGGTCAAGACGGGACAGTGGGGTGCGACCTCTGGCTGGGCAATCAACATGCCAGGGCCAGCCTGTCTGAGAGCCAAGTGTGTACAGGCTGAGGTCAGCAGGAAGCTATGGGTGGAGGCGTAGGTGGTATAGGTACAGTGGCACCCCATCTTCTGGGGCCTGAAGACACTGATGAATGCCTGATGGTCTGGTAGGGTCTGACCGTGTCTGAAGTACAGAAACTTCTGGGGCCACACGTCAGGGACTTGAAGGCTGAGGAAGAGGACAGCCCAGTGCAGGACTGGATCTCACAGCAGCGGCAGGAGGACCTGGACAGGCTAGGGCTGGGGCTCCAGGGTGGCATCCCCAATGGCTACCTTGTCCTGGACCTCCGCTCCCGAGGTGGGCCAGGGGGCCTGGTCAGAGTCCAGGGAGGGTGGGGGGAAGGCAGAGGGCAGAGGGGGTCTGAGTCACCCCTCTCTGTGCAGAGGCCTTCTCTGGGGCATGCTCCCTCCGTGGACCTGGACTCTTGCTCGCATCCATCCCAGCTGTGCTCCTGGCTTTGACTCTGAGCTGAGGCCACCTCTTCATCTGCAGCAGGTGGCAGTCAGGTGGTTGCTGTCAAACCCTGAGGGTGTTTGAGCTCAATAAACAGTAGCATCTGCCCTGCAGGCATGTCCTGTGATGTCACTGGGCCAGGTGGGAGGTTGTGGCTTTTGGGCTTCCTGTGACCCTATAATCTGGGGTCCATGTGGTCAGCTCTCTCACTCTCACGAAAGAAGAGTCCAGGGTGGGCCTCTAGGCTGGGGGTGCTGTTTAAGAGGCCTTCCTGTTGTGATTGATGGTGTTGCCAAGGTGGTGGACACCTGCTGGGCCCTGGTAATAGGGTCCCTGTGTCCCCTCTGGGACCTGAGCAAATACACAGGTGGCAGGATAGCCTTACATTTTATTCTGATCCACCAGGGAGAACAATGACCTTGAAGTCCTGTCCAGCCCAGGTGTCCTGGAGGAGGCAGGAGACTTGGGCCTCATCTTCTGTCCCACCTGGGCTTGTAACTGGTCAGGTCTCTGCTCCTGGGAGCCAAGGCATGAGGGGCCAGCCCTGCAGGCCTCCTGAGAGGTGGGACACAGCTGTCCCCCTGGGGCTTAGGGTCTGAGCCACAACCTGGGCAGGTGGCCAGCTCCACCTAGCAGCCCCCTGTTTCCTGCATGTGGTGCCTGTGGGCCTGGTCACCCTGGGGCAGCACTGTCTGCATTGGCCAGGGTCCTGGTGCTCCATGAGCAATCCCCACTGGGCTCAGAGATGTGCGACGCAGCAGCAGCCACAGAAGGCCAGAAGGCAGGGCCACAGAGAGCGGCAAAAAACCCAGGTGGACTGGGGGGCTTCCTGTGGGCAGATAGGGAGAGGACCTATTAGTTCCAACCAGAAGCCACCTGCAGCCCCCCTGGGAACCCCTGCTTTGGGCTGCTAAGTGTGGGAAGGCCAGTGAGGACCCTCTGCAACTGTTCTTCTAAGCTCCTCAAGGACCCCAGAGCTTCCCCTCACCCATTCTGCAGATCTGTGGGTTTAGGAGGAGGCACTGTGTCCTCAAATGGGTCAGCAGGCAATGGAAGGTGACACTGTGCAAGCCAAAGGCACTTAGAGGCCGATGTGAGGGGAAGCAAGGTGGACACAGGGACAGCCTAGGGTCTACAGAGGGCCCTGGGCCCAGAGGGGAGTAAAGGTGTACACTGTACCTGCAATGGGGGTCGAGGTGTAGTTCTCAGGCAGGCCTGAGGTGGAGGTCAAGTGGAGTGTGGGGTGGGTGATGCTGGGGGGCTTGCTGGCTGCATAGGAAGGGCTGGGCCCAGGGTGGGAAGCGTCTAGGCCCAGCTGATCCCGGGCCAAGCTGCTGAGGCTCCGCAGCCAGGAGCTGACCGTGGGGTGGCTGCGGGCCTTCTGCAGGTCCCCCACATTCTGCCCCAGCAGGGTGGTCACGTTGCTGACACTCAGGCTCTGGGAGGGAGGCAGGAGGGTCTCAGGGCTGCCTCTGTGGCTGAGGAGGACCCCACAGGGGCAGTGCTTCCTGGGACAACACGAGGAGGGGCACAGAACACCTCTGGTCCTCTCACTCAGGACTGTGTGGACCTGGGTTCTGGGGCACCTGGGCCTGCCAGCCCTGCCCTGCCTCCTCTCTGCCAGGGCAGCCCCCCACCTGGAGCACTCGTGGGTTGAGGTTGGTGAAGGTGTCGATGTCCATGGAGACATTGGCCTGGGCCAGGTGCTGCAGCTCCTCCACTGGGGCACCACCTGGGGGGGCAGTGATGAGAAGGGGCAGGGGGGGCTTCTGGGAGGGCACCACCCACAGGCGGGGCTCACCCAGGTAGGGGCGCATGAAGCGGTAGTAGTCAGCCGTGGACCTGGTGTTGTGGAAGGCCTCGCGAGCCTTGGCAAAGAGCACGTCCTTCTGGCTCTGAGGGCAGGAGGAGATGTCCAGGACCCCAGCCAGCCTGCAGAGTGTGAGGCTGTGAGCCCCCTGAGAGACCTTCTGCCCTCTGTGCTGGGTTGAGCAGGTTCCCCCAAACTTGCATCTACCCAGAACCTCAGAATGTGACCTTATTTGCAAGTAGGGTGTTTGCAGAAGAAATCAGATTAAAAGACGAAGTCAGACTGGATTAGGTCATCCCTAAATCTGGGGTCCCTATGGGAACAGAGGAATAAGGACACAGACACAGGGAGAAGGCCATGTGAAGGAGAGGAAGGGTTCACAGGAGCACCAAAGCTTCAGCCATGCTGGGGACTGGAAGCACCATGGGAGAGTCCTGCTGATACCCTGACTTGGGACCTCTGGCCTCCAGAGGTTCTGGAGAACACGTTACTTATTTCAAGTCACCTAGTTTGTGGTACTTTGTTACCGTGGCCCTAGGACATGAATGCACCTCCAGTAGCCCAGCCCAGACTGGATGGGTCTCCCTCCTGAGCCTTGGTTTCCCCTGGTGACCCTTGCCAGGTGGGTGGCCAGCTGTGTGGCTCTATGGGAGGCTCACCGGAATTCTGAGGGCTGGATGGTCTGGATCTGCTGGGGGCTCATCCAGCAGAGGCGGGAGCCCCCGATGGCCACCAGAAGGGCACTGGTGACCGTACCATTCTGGTCCAGGAACTTCTGCAGGACTGCCTGGGAACAGGGACAGGGTCAGTGGGGCTAGGTGGACCAGACAGCTCCCCAGCCACCCCCAATGCCTTCACCTCTGTCTGGTTCTCCAGAGCCACATCCGAGGCCAGTAGGGCCACAACCGTGTCCATGGATGTGATGTTCCACTGGCCTATCTCAGTGCGTGAGAAGAGGTAGACCAGCGAGGTGATGAGCCGCAGCTGGTCCTCAGGGATGCCCTGTGGGTAGACCTGAGGCAGGCGGTGAGCTCAGTGGCCCAGGCCCCGCTGCCTGCCCCTCGGGGGTCTGTCTCTGTACCTGGGCCAGCTTGGCCTTGATGATGCGCTGGCACTCGGCAGGCAGGGGGTGCTGCAGCAGGGGGTCCAGGTTGGCCCTGAGCACGGGGCCTCCCAAGCACGACTGGAGCTGGGCGCAGTCATAGTGCACCAGGAACAGGTTGTCACGCAGTGTGGCGGCTGTGATGTTGCCATGGGTACAGGGCCTCCCGGCAGGGTGGGCTAATGACCAGATCCATTAGCCAAGGCCAGAGCTGAACACCTCTGCTGGCTCCAGCCCATCTCCACACTGACCTCCACTTCTGACCTCATTAGACGTTGACCACATCCCAGATTCACCTCTAACCAACAACTTGGCCCACACCAGACCAGAGAGGAGCCTAGACTGGGGGATGCCCATGGTGTCCACACCAACCTGCACCCCGCTTGGGCCTCCAGGATGCCAATTTAGCCTTGGATTCGAGGAAGTTGGTCACGAAGTGCCTGGCGTCATGCTGGCTGAGCTGTCCTGCCCGACAGGCAGCCACCACTCTGTAGAAGAAGTCCAGGCCCACAGCCTGGCAGGTAGGCATGATATCCACACATCATACAGGCGCCTGGCCCCTCCTCCCACCCCAGAGACTCTGATGGTCTTGGGGCCCCACTAGGTCCCCAGAGTGGCTGGGAGGCATGGGCTGGTGGAGGAGACATCTGGCAGCACCTTACCCTGTGCCCATGGCCACTCCACTGGCACCACCTACCTCTGGTACCTGTGCCCACACATGGGGGCTGATGTAGGTGATCAGGGATCCCAGGGCCTGTAGCCCCTTCAGGTTCCAGGAGCTGGGAGGCCTAGTGCATGGGAAGGGGCACTGTGTTGGGGCCAAGGGCAACATCCCAACCCCCACCTGCTGCCCCTCCCTGAGCAGGGCGGAAGAAGCTTCCAGGAGGTTCTCAGGTGTACCCAGAGTACAGGCAGGTGCCCATTCACAGTTAGTGGAGCCTGCCCTGCTGTGGGCACCCAGCCAGACAGTCAGCATTCCCCACCCTGCACCCCATGGCCTGTGGGGCCAGAGCAAGGCTGAGGGCTGGAGGCAGAAGGAGCAAGGCTGAGGGCTGAGGAGGTGAGGCAGAAGTCAGAGGTCAGTAGGGATGTGGCCATCAGTGACCCCCAGAGCCCAAGATCCAGTTGCTTCTTATCTTGTCTCAAGCAGGGGAGCCCCCAACCCCACCAACCCCTCCTCACCCTAGACCCTGTGACCCCTACCCACCCAAGCTGGGTCCTCCCACTGGCCAGCAGGCTGTTGAGGGCAACACTCTGGGCAGCAGTCAGCCGGGGACAGCGTAGCAGGTTCTGCAGTACATGAGGGTCTGAGGTCACGATGCTGGATGCCTGCATGTCACACACCAGGACCCCGAGGAGCTCCAGGTCTGAGGCACTGAGCTGCAGGTGAGGCGCCCCCTGCAGGGAAAGCAGGTCAGCACCAAGCAGAGGCCAGCCCTACTGTCCTTCCGTCTGCATTGGGGGTACCTACCAGGCAGGCCAGAGCTGTGTGTCTCAGGGTCATCCTCTGGTCAGGCAGGTTGGCCAGCAGCTCTGTGTTCCCCTGGGCAGCACGGTGGGTGAAGGCCCGGCAGTCAGCTTCCCTTACCTGGCTCAGGCTGCCGGCAGGTGGGAGGACATCAGGGAGGCAGGGCCAGGCCTCCCGCCTGCCTAGCAGGGCCCCCAGGAGCCATGGGGTAGGGCACTCACTTGTAAAAGAGCAGGAGGTCAGGCGGGTGGAGCCTGAAGTCACCCTGAAGGCCGCGCCACGTGGCAAGGTTGGCCAAGCAGCTGAGCTGGGCAGGATGGCAGCAGGTCACTCCCTGTCCAGTCTGGACTTGCCCTGGTGGGGCACAGCTCCAGCACCCCCACCAATCAAGATTGCTACATTATGTGCACTTATGAATACATAATGAATCCACCTTCGGGTGCAACTGTAGTGCCCCAGTTAGGAGGCTGAGACAGGAGGATCAGGAGTTCAAAGCCAGCCTCAGCAAAAGTGAGGTGCTAAGCAACTCAGTGAGACCCTGTCTCTAAATAAAATACAAAATAGGGGTGGGGATGTGGCTCAGTGGTCGAGTGTTCAATCCTTAGTACAAAAAAAAAAAAGGAGGAAAATGATAAAGATGACATGCTGCGCGCGCCGCACACACACACACACACACACACACACACACACACAAATTTAAAAAAAGAAAAAAGAAAAAGAACGTGTGCTCTGCAATTGTGGGATCAGGTCACCACAGATGTCACCAGCTGTGCCCATGGAAGTGCGTGGAAGTCCCAGTGACCTCGGTGGACTGGCCTGCCTCCCCTGTGGTGCTGAGATTCCTGCCCCAGTGCCCTGGTGCTCTGTGCTGGGTGCAGGCTTTCTCAGCACCACTACCTCTTCTTGCAGAATTGCACACTTGGTCCTTGCTTGGGAGTCAGCTCTGCCTGGATGAGCAGCTGCTTCCTGCTTCTTATTGACTAGTGTTGGAGTGTGGCTTCTCAGCACTGGGGATTGAACCCAGGGCCCCTCTCATGCTAGGCTGTGCAGCCCCCACACATTTACTTTTAATCTACACATGTTTACATTTAAAGTGGGGTTTTAGTGGGGTGCAATGACGCCTGCCTGTTATCCCAGCTACCTGGGAAGCTAAGGCCGGAGGATCACAAGTTGGAGGCCAGCCTGGGCATCTATCTCTATCTCAAAATGTCTCAAGATGACTCTGTCTCAAAATGAAAAATAAAAGGGGCCGGAGCATTTGCCTCACACGAGTGAGGCACTGGGTCCGATTCTCAGCACCACATCAAAATAAATAAACAAAACAAAGATATTATGTCCATATATAACTAAAAATTTTTTTAAAAAAGGGCTGGGGTGCAGCTCAGTGGTAGGTGCTTGCCCAGCATAGCTGAAGCCCTGGGTTCCATCCCCAGTATCTCAAGCATCCACACACAAAATGATAAATAGAAATAGTCTTTTGTAGACAACACAGGTTTTTTTTTTTTCTTTGTATATTTTGTTTTGTTTTTGGTACCGGGAAATTGAACCCGGGGGTGCTTTATCACTGAGTCACATCCCCAGCCCTTTTCTTTTTTTTTTAAATAACTTTACTTATTTATTTATTTATTTTTATGTGGTGCTGAGGATTGAGCCCAGGGCCTTGCACGTGCGAGGCGAGCGCTCTACCGCTGAGCCACAACCCCAGCCCCCCCAGCCCTTCTCATTTTGAGACAGAAGCTCATTAATTTGCTGAGGCTGATCCAAACATGTGATCCTCCTGCCTCAGCCTCCCAAGTCTCTGGGGTTACAGGTGTGTGCCACTGTACCAGGCTAGGTCTTCTTTTTTGATCCACTCTAACATACTGCTCTCTCTCTCTCTCTCTCTCTCTCTCTCTCTCTCTCTCTCTCTCTTTTGCACTGCTGGGCATTGAACCCAGGGTCTTTCATGTGCTAGGCAAGCATACCATCTTTCAACTGGCACATTTAGACTATTGATGATATTCAAAGTAAGTATCGGTATCGTTAGATTAATATCTACCATATTTTAAAACTAGTTCTGTGAGTGCTCTTGAGGCATTCTAAGGAATTCATCAGCTATCTGTAAAACATTCCTGTGATGCTTAGAGCAGAATCCACCTGAACACCGGGAATGGACGGACAACCTGCTACTAGGGGTTTCCCTTCCCCTCGAGCCTATGGACTCCACAGCCAGCCAACTCCATGAGTACCTTAGAGACACTTCTCAGGGCTCCTTTTTAAGGACCAACTGAGGAAACCACTCAGTCCACATACATATCTGATCAATCCCCAGCACCACCAAAACAAAACCAAAGCCAAGAACCCATTCTGCACGGTTGGAGGCACCCTGAGGAAGGGCAGTAACCAGGCCAGGGGCCAACAAGAAAGGAGCAGGGCTTGGAGACTGCCTCCTGCAGTTTGAGCCTTCACATGGCGGTGGCAATGGCTAAGGCCTTGGGCAGGCAATGCTGGCACAACCCAAGGCTTGGAAGCCAAGCAGATCCTGTTTAGAGAAGGCCGGAGGGAGAGTCCCCAAGAGCTCGGCATTTCTCTGGAGGAGTGGGGTCTTTCTACTTTTCTGCATTTTCTGATTTTTCTTGAGTATGTTTGCTACTAATTTTATACTGGGACACAGTGCCCTTTCAACCTAGCATGCTTCCTGAGTCTCATGGCCTCATGGTCTCATGGCCCAGGATCCTTAGGCACGCCCCAGGGAGAGATCAGTGGGCTGCAGAACCCACTTTTGGGTGTGTCCTGGAGGCCTGGAGGACCCACAGGGGGCACTATACACCAGAGGAAGCTAGGGAGGATCACACAGCCATGTGGCAAGCCCTCATCACCGCCAGGGTGGGAGGCAGAAGCATCTGCAGGCAGATTGGCTGACATGGCCAGGGGTCCACCTTGGACTGAACTGAAAAGCCAGCCCAGAGGAGTGACAGCCCATCACAGGGGGCCAGGCATCCTGTCATGGTGGCCCCAGGAGCATTGTTCTTGGTGGTTTTGAAGCTGGCAGATTGGTGCCTGCACTCCCAAGCCCCCTGCCCCAGTCCAGTCCCTGGCACCCTCCTGCCCATCTCTGCTGGGGTCTGCTTGGTGCAAACCTGTGCCCACCTGTAGGCCCTCCTCCAGCAGCCTGGTTCCCCCTCCATACCCATGCGCTCTGCCTCTGTGAAGGCTTACCTGCCAGGCTTTGAGTGATACCTGCTGGGTGGCCAGGCACCTGATCAGAGCCGAGAGATGCTCCTGAGGCAGCTGGCTGGCTGGCTGGCACCAAAAGTCTTGCAGGAGGGAGGTTTTGACCCTGGGCAGGAGGAGAAGACAGTGAGGGGCTCAGGGATTGGGAGGGGCAGACCCAGGTACAGTGCGTGGGATTGGAGTCATACTGCCTCCCAGCACCAAGGGAGTAAGAGGCAAGATGTGTCCGGTCATGGTCAAGGTCAGATCCCTGCTCCTTTCTTCCTCCTCCTTCCTCCCTGAGTACCCCATCGGGGCCAGACTTCTAGCTGCTTGGGGCCTACATGTGGCAACTGCTCACATGTGGGGCCTGCAATTGCTCCCAGGGCCCAGGCCCAGCTGGCTCAGGCCCTGACCAATTTTCTGGTGTCTGAGGGACGTGGAGGCACTTATGGTGTGACTGCAGGCAAGGCCATCTCTCTGAGCCTCCCTTCCTTAGGGCATGACTAATAAAATCTATACAGAGAGGGGTCTTGGGCCACATGAGCCTGGGCTTGACTGGTCCCCCTTGGGACCCTGGTCCTACCCAACCAGTCTCATTAACTGATTGATCAGTGTGCCAAGCTGAGGAGTGAGACACCTAGACAATGGGAGGAAATGACCAGGCTGGGACAGGGGGGCTGAAAGGACTCAAGATGACATGGCCTGGTCCAGCAGTTGGGGTTGATGGCCTGGAGCCCCATAGGGAGACTTGGGGGCCAAGCATATGGGCCTTTGATGGTCAAGGCCTCTGTAGCTGGCTGCTACCTTGAGAACGTGGGGGACCCACTCCCACCAATGTGGGAACCAAAGCTGGACTCTGGACATACTGGGCTGTCTGGGGCCAGGTGGCTGAGTGACCTTGAAGGCAGGCCAGGTTCCGAGGTCACAGTTTGGGGTATGGTGGACCTACATGCCCTGACTGGACCTCATGTGCAGACCCTGGGCATGGTCCCTCCCTAGGACCCCCACAGCCACCCAGGACCCCTCTTCCTCCCTTCCTCCCACTCTGCCCTACCATGAATCAGCCACAGGAAATAATTTCCAGGAGAGGCCCAGCACTCACCTGGCCCAATGGTCAGCCCCAGCAATGTCCGGCTCTCCCTGGGGGAAGCCCTTGGCTTGATAATGGGAGCAGTGGGCAGTAAGGGACAGGAAGAGGGTGAGGCCCAGACTCGCCAGGGTACCTGGAACAGAACAGCCATGAGGGCTCAGCGGCAGCAGGAACGTGGCCAGTGGTATTTGGGGTCTGCGCAAGGCTCCCTGTATCCTGGGTGGGCCTCTGACCCCCAACCCCTGTCCTCCTGGAGGGGAGGCTCTGGAGGAGACCGGGAGTACATGGGCTCCTGTGCACATGTGGCTTGGTCGGATAGTGTGTGAGGTGTGGTATGCGTGTGCACGGGAGCCAGTGTGTTCTCTGGCCTGTGTGTGTGTGCAACTTCCTCCTACCTCCAGCCAGACCTCCTCCCACAGTGGCTCTGTGTCCTCACAGTCTGTTTTGAGGCTCAAAATGGGAGGAGCAGGGGCTCAGCTCCCAACTCTTCCAGAGCCCCTCACCCTCTGCACTGGGGCACAGCAGGGCTTCCCAGCAGGATTGGGGGGCCCAGTCACATTCTTGCCTTGGAAACCCAGCCCAGGAAGTGGAGGCTTGAGTCCAGGTCACCCCCTTTTCTCACTGACCCTGAACAGACCATTTAGAAAAATCTCCAGCACTGAAAGGGCACAGGGAGGGTGTCATTAGTGGAGAACCTGGTCACAGCCCAGGTAGCCCTGCCTGTGGTCTCCTGGGCTGCTGGAGCTGGGTGTCTGCCCTCCCAAGAAAGGCAGTGTGTCTCTGGGTCTCTACCCCAATCCCTGCCCATCCTTGGGGCCTGGCCTGGCCTGTGCTGGAGCTGGCAGTGGCCCCTGGTAGACCTGGCCTCACCTGCCTTGTCCCTGTTGGGACCCTGAGGACTGCACCCCTGGGGCTCTGTTCATGATGCAGTTTTGTACCACCCGGTTAGCCTCATGCTTCCTGGGGGCCTCCCCTTGTTTACAGCAGGTCCCTTAGTTTGGGCCCCTGAGGAGGGGCAACCAGAGCACGAGGCAGTCCCACAGTAAAGTGGCGGGCCAGCCACAGGGGTTTGTCATCCCAGAGTGCTCCAGAGGAGCCCAGGGTACCTCCTTCTCATGGAGGAATCATCTTACCCACTCTGGGGCCCACGGCTGAGCGGCAGTGAGCCCTGGTCATCCTGGCTGAGGTGTCCCGAGGGGGCAGGTCCTGGACTAGCAAGAGACTGTGGCAGGGGTGGGCCTCAGGCACCAAGAGGGTCATGTCCAGCGTCACACGGGATGTCTAGCCTGTGCCTGGGGCTGCAGCCGCCTCCGTCTTGCCTTTGGGAGGAAAACAATCCCACAAATAAGCGTCAGAACAAAAGGGAGTGCGGGGGAGGGGAGCTAGGGACCGGGCCTTTCTTATCACAGGTTGGCCCCTGGGACCACAGGCTGCAGCGCCTCCAATTAACACATCTCTCACAAACAGCAGTCCCGCAGGCAGTGGGGGGGAGACGCCAGCACTGGGTGGCCCAGGCAGCCCCCTTTCCCTCTCCAGGTCTTGGACACCAGTGCTGTCATTGAGACCTGAGTCCTGGGGCATGGATTCAGGCATGGAGGTCAGTGCTGCTGGCTGCCAAGTGCGCTGGCCTCTCACAGACAGCACACAGCCTCACGGACACAGCCTGTAGTTCATGGCTGAGTACTTTTGGATGTCTGGACCTTACGCGGCCTGGATGGGAGGCAGGGAAGTTACCACCTTTTGCTGGGGCTAAAATGGAGGTTTAGAGGGATTCAACTGCCTGCTCAAGGAAGCCCAGGGCCCAGATATGCAGCCTGGAGCCCTTTGGTCCAGCTGGTGGCTCCTGCTTCTGTTCCTGCCCCTCACCTGAGCAGGAAGCACATCTGTGGTTGGCAGAGGTGCTGCCTATGCCTCAGAGACAGGGCTGTTCCCTGTCACGTGGTCTTCAGATGCAGGTGTTCCAGACGTCAGTGATCCCAGCCTGCCAAGCATCTTGGTCTGTGCAGCTGAGCACTGGGGTGCAGGAGGAGTGGGACAGGGTCACTGCAGTCCCCATTCACCTTCATGCCTGACTCAGTGGGTGGCATGCAACTAAACTGCCTTGTGAACCTGACTCCTACAGTGATAGCAGCTGGACCCGCCTGAAGGGGAGGGATCTGGGCTGTGCCAGGTGATGCTGCCATATCAGCCCTAGGGCCCCATGCATAGCGGGCACCTGCTCCTCAGCCCCAGGGGAGCAGGAGGCTGAGCTCACATTTGGCAGCCACTCAGCACACGCCCCTCCCCATGGGAACCCAGCCCTGGCATTGGCACCCCTTGGGTGACGCTCCAGGTAAGCACACAGCCTCGTATGCATGCCCTTAGCCCATGTGCTCTTGCACCCTGGAGCTCATCCATGTCCTCAGGTGTCTCTGTGGGACATTAGGCACACGTGAATCAACACGGTAGTGGGTGTGGCCATGCTGCAGTGGCAGAATACAGCTGCCAGGTGTGCGCATGTGTTGCAGCTTATGGAACAGAGAGGGTGTGTGGGCACATGCCCTGAGAGCTGTGCCATGCTCAGCCCTGTCCCAGTCAATGGCACTGCTCAGGTCTCACCTGTCCTCAGTGACAGCTGCTGTGGCTTCAGAGAGCAGGTTAGGATGTCTTCAGCAGGCAGGCTTCCAAGGGGACCAGGGCAGGAGGCAAGACTGCAAGAGGGACTTCCCAACCCACCTGCTGGATGGTGCCAGCAGAAGGTTTCCTAGTCCTAGGCCACCCACTGGCAGCTTTCACATTTGCAGGCCCAAGGGGGCTTCAGGACTCCAGTGACTGGTCCAGCTGCCACATAACTTCCACCTACACTCCAGGTTTTGAGTACCCTGGGAGTCAGCTCCACAGCTGGGCTGAGCCTTATAGGGCCCACAGTTGGGGCAACAGCAGACAATGGCCCCCCAAGCACTGGAGAGGCCCAGCCAGGAGCACCATTGAGGGCTCAATAGGACACAGAAGCTGAGGCCCTGTGCAGCTCAGGCTGCCTGGGTGTCTGGAGTCCTGCTCAGCTTGGCATGGGCCTCTGGCCACCAGCTGGGCTGATACAGCTGCCCAGTGGCTCTGAGAACTACATCTGGCAGAGGTGGGGTGGAGCCATGAGGTCCAGATGGCCCAGTTTGGAGGGGACCAAGGTCCTGGGGAGTGGATTGGGGGAGGGTCCTGGGCAGGCCCACCTGAAACCCAGCAGCCGAGACTGTTTATGATTTCACCCAAGCCCTGAACTCACCCGGTAGGAACAGATTCTGGCTAGCAAGGTCTTAGGGTAGCTCTGGACGCTGAGGGGTCTGTGGGAGGGATGTCATGTAGTAGGATATAGAGGATGTGCCTCGGAGCCAGCCACTGCCTTGTCCCTGCTCTGGCAGGGCCCTGGTGGGGCCTGTGAAGGTGGCCTTACCTGTAATGGGGAGACTTTTTAAAAGTAGGGGTATTTAACTTTAGTAACTGAAAGAAACTGTTGGCCTTATTCAAGGGCTCCAAAAACCCCCTTGGGCCTGCAAATGTGAAAGCTACCAGTGGGTGGCCTAGGGCAAGGAAACCTTCTGCTGGCACCATCCAGCACGTAGGTTGGGAAATCCCTCTTGCAGTCTTGCCTCCTGCCCTGGTCCCCTTGGAGGCCTGCCTGCTGAAGACATCCTAACCCACTCTCTGAGGCTGCAGCAGCTGTCACTGAGCACTTTGTCCAAAAGCAAGCTGGAGGACATAGCTGACCTGAACTGAACACCATCTCCTAGTTCAGTCCTGAGCCTGATCAACCCTTTGGGGTGTTTTGGGATAGCCCTGCCTGAGGTCTTTCAGGGAGGGACTCCTGGGGCACCAGGGTGTGAAGGGTCTCAGGCTCAAGTCCATGTGCCTTGACAAGCAGCTGAGCTCCTGGCCTCAGGGTCCCAGGCACAGAGGCGAGGGCGGCCCCATGTGGCAGCAGTGGGCATGGCGGCTGCTGAGCCCACAGGCCACTGCCAAGAAAGTTGGACTGGCCTGAGACTATAGGGATATCCCTTGGAGAGGGGCCCAAACTGCTACCATTCAAGGAGACCCCAAGAAAATAGGAAATGAGGGGCTGGGGAGGTGGCTCAAGCGGTAGCACGCTCGTCTAGCATGCGTGCGGCCCGGGTTCGAACCTCAGCAGCACCATATACCAACAAAGATGTTGTGTCCGCCGAGAACTAAGAAAAAATAAATAAATGTTAAAATTCTCTCTCTCTCTCTCTGTCCCTCTCTCTCACTCTCTCTTTAAAAAAAAAAAAAAAAAAAAAAAAAAAAAAAAAAAGAAAATAGGAAATGAACCAGACCTCCTTGGGTGGGAAGAAGGAGACACAGGGGTATGAACAGCAGAGGACAGAAGGCTGAGGGTATGTGCCCTGAGCTGGGGGCCTGGCTTCCCCTGACCCACTCCAGGTACCTTCCCCCTTTCCTGCAGGAAGCAGAAACAATTGGCCTTGAGCCCCAGGGGGTTTCTGCCAAGGGCACAAGGGTAGCTACCTCTACTCCCAGCACTGCTGAAATCCTGCCCAGGGTTAATGTGGGGCCAGCATAGAATGCAATCTGCAGTGGGGAGGGATCAGGGGCGACAGGATAAGGCCTTAGGGCTCTGGACCCCGGGAGCCAAGACTGTGTGTGGGCCCAGACTGTAGGCTACACCAGAGACTCTGGCTGAGGCCAGATTTATGCTCCGGGAGGGTTGGGGTCCTCCAGGGACTGGACAACCCCATTTCTGCTCCCATCAAGCATACAGCCTCGGGGCTGGGGTTGTGGCTCAGTGGCAGAGTGCCTGCCTGACACATGTGAGGCACTGGGTTCGATACTCAGCACCATATAAAAATTAAAAAAAAAGATATTGTATCCACCTAAAGCTAAAAAGTAAATTTTAAAAATAAATAAACAAACAAAATAAAGATATTAAAAAAAAAAAAAGAGTCCAGCCTCCAAGGACCCTGAACCACAAGGGCTCACTGCTTATGGAGAGAGGGCAGGTTGAAGGCCAGGACCTAGCGGTGTCATGGATTCTGCTGGCTAGTGGAGATGTGCAGGAGGCAGGGCTAGCAAAAGGCAGGAGCACCCCAGAGCCCCACATCAGATACACTCAGTCACGCTTGGGATTTGGCACTGAGAATTTATTCCAAATCCTCACCCAGCTGCTGCCAGGGTGGTTGGCCAAGGTGTAGGGGACAGGAGGTGAGGCCAGGCTGTGCTTTCCCTGAAGGCATGGACTGGCATCCCACTGCTGTGTGATCCAGGAAGATGGTGGTGTGGCAGGAGCTGCAGTCAGAAGCCTGTGGGACCTTGCAGCAGAAGCAGCACCCAGAGGATAGGAGTACATGGGGAGGTGCCTCTTCCGAAGCCCCCCCATACCCCTGTGCTCCAGATGTAGGCGAGGCCAGCAGCAGAGTGCAGCAGAAGCAAGGTGTGAAGCAGGCCAGGCCAGGAAGGAGACAGGTGCAGAAGGTCCAACCAGGCTGGGAACTCAAGAGGCAGACTGGAGCTGAGTGCCTCACAACACAAAAGACAGGCAGGCCCAGGCCCTGAGGAGCCCAGAGTGAACCCATACTGGAGGCAGAGCCTGGCCCGGTCCTGGCTCTGTCCCTCGCTGCTGAGTGGCCTGGGCAAGTCTGTGAAATGCAGGCCCCAGGAGTACATCCCAGGAAAAAAAAAAAAAAAAAAAACTATCCCAAGAAGAACCTCAGTTTCTCCAGGGCACATGGGAGGAAGCTCCCTAGCCAAGCATCTATTCCACAGTCTGAGCCTCAATCCTCCAGCAAACCTGACTACCTGGTATCCTGCCAGCCCTGCCAGTCCCTCCTGCAGACTGGCACTGAGCCAGCACCCCCTACACAGCCCAGTGGCTCTCAGTTGTCTGGCTCCAGTGTCCACTCTGATAACCACTGCAGACAAGAGGCTCGCTGTGCCTCAGTTTCAGGAGGGAGCCGGCCTGGCTCAGGCAGCAGTGTAGAGGGGCTACAGGGCCCAGGGCCACTGTCCATGGGGTCAGGGTCACAGGCAGCCCGTAAGGCCTGGACAAGTTGGTCAAGTGGCTGCAATAGGGTGTGTGGGCTCCAGCAGACATCCAGTGAGGGCAGGAAGGGGTCTGGTGTGCAGGCCTCCACGCACTCAGCCTGTGTAGGTATGCGCAAGTAGAAGGCGTGCAACATCATCCGGAAGGGCTGGTCCTCCTGGCCCTCAGCCTGCCCATACGTCAGGTCACCCACGATGGGGTGGCCCAGGGCACTGCAGTGCACACGCAGCTGGTGAGTCCGGCCTGCAGATGGGGTCAGAGGTCAGGCGGGGTGGGGCTACTGCATGCCCACACACCACCAGGCCCACGTTACATCCAGCAGGGTTCCTTGCTATGACTATGCAACCCCATGGTAATCGCTTGGGACAGGACCTTCCTGACCCTTGATAGGGATGAGACAATGAGGTGATGGGGCACAGGGCAGAAATTGCTCTAGGACTGCTGTGAGTGCACAGCCAGGGCAGTGCTGGATCTTACTGTAGAACCCAGCAAAATCCACCAGAGCACAGCCAGCAGCCAGCAAAAACCTCGTACCATTCTACTAGATGCTGGGTGACCCCAGCTGGCCATGCTGCCTGTGCCTTAGGCTCCTTTCCTTGTGACTGACCTCTGCCCCATGCTGGACACACCTGTAAGTGGCTTCAACAGCACCTTGGACGCTGGGCTGCCAGCATACAACCCATGTTCCAGGACCACCAGCTCTGTGAGACTCGGCTTTGGGTTCTCGCAACCTGGGTGTACAGAAGGGTGTGAGGGTGAGCTGGAACAGCCTCCAGACCCTGTTCAACCCCACTTGCCCATGTTGGCCATGTCCATGTAGGGTCCCTGCTGGATATAGATCTGTGGCCCCTGCCCCCGACTACCCTACCCTGTGTGCCCTCAATGCACATGGTGTGGGTCCGGCCCTCTGTGTTGTTCTTGCCAATGGCATGGCTGATGGTCATCTGGCTCTCCTGGACGTGGCCTCGAACCTGCCAAGCAGAGGAATTCATATGCAGCTCACAGGCCAGCCTGCCACTGTTGGGAAGGCTGATCCATGTGCGGCTTGTGGGGAGCTCTGGTCCAAGGGACCTGCTGAAGTGGGCTGGGAGTGCCAAGTCCCCACACCCCACCCTAGGGACTATCCAAGTCTTACCAGTGCTAGGTAGGCCTTGGTGACTCGCCGCTCCTTGAAGCACCTGTAAGCACTGCCTGCAGCTGCCTTGTTAAGGGCCACACACAGTGCCCCACTGGTGGAGAAGTCCAGTTGGTGGCAGAACCTGGGGAGAGACAGAGGGGAGAGGTGGCTGGATCCTGTCCTATCCTGGCCAGCAACTTCTTGACAGAGCTTCCCTTGGACAGAGGCCAGACCATCTAGGTGACTGTGTACCTGAACCCGTAGCAAGTGTCAGGGTCAGCTAGCTCTGGGAAGCGGTGCCGCAGCTGCTTCTGAAGGGTCAGGGTCTCCCGCCACGTTTTACTATCAATGCGCAGGTCCCAGTGCTTGTTTACCACCAGAAAGTCGCTGCTCCGGTAGACTATAGACAGGTTCTCCACGCTGCCTGGCTCCATGGA